CTCTCCACTGTGATGCAACACCTAAACAACTTCAGCGTACAGCAGCCGGTCCCCAGTTCTTGTCCCCATACTGACCCCTCAGATGTCCCTCAGTACAAACACATGCACACCATCAGCACAACTCTGGGTCTGATTTACTAAACGTTTTGCACCAGTTTCAGGTGAAAATGAGTGTGCATTATGTACAAAACTGGCATACCTAGAACCACAGTATGTGGGTTTGTGCATGGAAAAACACAAAATACTTCTCTTGATCATACATATTCATATGAGGTGGGGCCAAAAAAAGTGAACAAATGATGACAGAGATGTAAAATTCTAAAATAAGTGAGAAAACTCACATGAATGAACTAAGTTATAATAAAATTACAAATAATAACAACAAAGGTCTTAGTATTCAGTGTGTCCACTCTTTGCTTTTATTACAGCTTCCATACTTTTCAGAAGACTCGCTTTTCAGCTTTTCAAAGAATCAGGGATATTTTTCCACACTTCCAAAGTTCAGCCTTAGAAGCTGGTTTTATTTTGTCCTTCTCATGATCCAAGTAATCCCAAACACATTCAGTGGTGTTGAGGTCTGGACTCTGGAGTGGTCAGTCCATTGTTCTGAGAACACCAGCACCATCTTTATTTGATTTACAGATGTTCTTCTTCTTTTTTAATCTATTTTCTTTTCTCAGTTAGAGCTTCTTGACAGCTACATATCCTTTAAGACCCATAGTGATGTGTTGTCTCCTCACAGTGAAAGGATGGACAGAAACACCTGTGGATTATTTCAGATCTGAAGCAAGAGTGGAGCTTGATTTTCTCTCAAAGATAAAAGTTTTAAGTGCTGCTTATCTGATGGAGACAGTTTTGGTGGTCTACCAGGTCTTGCATGGTTGTTAGGAGTCCCAATTTTGGACAACTCAATATTTGGAGTTGTCCAAAATTTGGAATTTTAGAAATCGAATCAATAATATTCCCCTCAATATGAATGACTTAGGCCCAATCCCATTTCACCCCTCGACCCTACCACTCAGCCCTTAGTGTTTTGCGCATTCACGTCTAGGGTTAGGGTGTCCTGATTTTTGTTGAGATAGGACGTATGTTAGGGCTTCATGGCTCTCCAAACGAAGTGTTATGAGAAAAAAAGAAAAACCGCCAAGATGGCTGCGCAAGCGACCAAAGAAATTTGAGTCTTTTCTCCGTTAAAAATGGTGATAACCACAGTATTATGGGCTAATAGTATGCTAATGTGTCCGTAGCTAGCTAGCTAAATTTCCTGTTCCACCATTAAATAGTCCAGCAGTTCTGACGCCTGAAGCGCCAGAATGTAACGGTGGAACAGGAAAATTTGAACAAGAATCTAGCAAATAGCAGCTTCATATCACTGAAGAATTAGAGATGGGTGATAATAAATAATTGTCGCCCCCTCTTTGAAGGCATATGATTCCCTAAATGTAACTAAAGCCCAGCAGCGAGGTTGCAGAACTTTACCCTCCCCTGCAATCACTGCAGACTCGCAGGGTCGCCTACTGAGCACAGCTAGTAGCCTGTTAATGAAGTAATGTTCATTTTTATTTGAGGGTCCCATTTCACAGGGGAAGATTTCAACCACTACCCCTTGTAACTCTGATCCAAGGGGCAAGATTACACTCAAAAACAAGGGGTAAGGGTAAAGTGACCTGTTGACTTAACATACTTAATGGCAGTTTTGACCAGAAATAAAATGAAGGGTGGTCTCTGACTTTTGTACTTCACTATCGATGAACATGAACTCATAAAAAAAATTAAATAACTATAAAAGGCATCCTATAACACAGAGAAACAAACAAACAAACAAACAAACACACACACACACACACACACACACACACACACACAAACACACACACACACTAGGGCAGTTTAGATGTAAATGTGCAGGCTGGGTGGTGTGTGTGTTTGTGCTGCAGTAATGGCAGCAGCCTATTCCCCTGACTCTCAGCCTTCTGCCACTCTCAGCCCTGCCAAATCCCTCTCTCTCTCTCTCTCTCCCTCTCTTTCAATCTCTCCTCCTCCATCAATCTCTCTTTCTTTCCCTACCTCTCTCTCTTTCCCTTCCACCACCCCCCTCCATTTGCAGAGTGTGAATGAGTTTCCAGCTCAGTGAGAACTAATCCATGAGATTTTTAATGTAAAATGCCCCACCTTGAGGTTCGCTGCTCCGGCAGTGGACACAACACAGATTGGGTCATACCCTGAAGTCGGAATTGGAGGCAGTCTGACGTCGTCCATTCTCACCACATCTTCAAAATTCAACAACTCAAATTCTCACAACGTTTCACCAATCTGCTCAATATCAAGCTGCTTTAACTCATAATCAAATTTTACATTTTCCTTCGTCCATATGTTCTCTGAGTTTGCCTGAGTTTGCAGACATCTTTCAAAATGAACAAACCATATGGATAAAAAGTGCAGTTTTATCACTTCATTTATCATATTTAATTGAGTCGTTCTCAGTCTTGTGGTTACATGGGAGTCTATTTTTTATCAAAACAACAGAAAATCCTAATTTGATTGTGATTTAAAGTATGAATATTACAATTACTAATGCACTTGAATAAAAAAGCTGAAACTCAAGGAAAAAAGGAGTTTCCAAAACTAGAGCTCAAAATGCACAGAGAAAATGGGACTGGTAGACCACCAAAACTCCCCCCATCAGATAAACAGTGCTTAAAGCTTTTATCCTTGAGAGAAAACCAAGCTCCACTCTTGCTTCAGATCTGAAAAAAATCCAGTTGTTTCTGTCCATCTTTCTATGGTCTAATTTGTTCATATATGGAATTTTTCAATTCATTTTCAATTCACTGTTTTTGTGTTATTGTCACAAAAACTAATGCATTTACACATATACATCTATATCCACCATCTAGCCAGCCCACCAATTCATGTTGAATTTATAACTTACAAGGCAGCCAATCACAACAGAGGTCATTTATATATATATATATATATATATATATATTTATATATATATATATATATACATATATATCAGTTTTAAGGTACAACCTGTTTAATTCTTAGAGATGAAGAGAGGTCGGAAAATTGTCATGTGTAACAGTGAATTATGTCTTTCAGTACATTAAACCACATGAAATGTCATAATTGAATATCAGGGGGAAAAACAGGAAAAAATGTAGGATATGAGCTCTTTAAGAGGCTAATTGATGAATAAATATAGTCACTAGATCACTACCATCCGCTGTTTCACTGTAAGAAAAACAGCCATCTTTAAAAGTTTTCGCATTTTCTCAACCTCTGCTGTGATGCACTCGTTTTCCAATCCACATCTTTTCCAAACGTAATCGTATCTAAAATGATAAATAATAAACTTGCCTAATTAAATCAAAAGTGACCAAAAAAACCCACTGAGATCAAACAGTCTTCCTTCGATAAAAGCCCTCGTTGGCTGGTGAGGGATGGTGACAGACAGGCGCGACGGTGCCAATACTCGCTGCCTAAATACGCTGTGACTGCCAATGTGACGCACTTCATTACCAGACTAACAAATTCATTACTGCCTTCATCTCTGTCCTCCCACTCCGCTCTGCATGATGCGCTCCCTGTCCGCGCCTGCCGGCAGCTCGTTAAGAAAGAGAAAAACTCAGGCCCATCACTCCCGACGCTCCACGCCATTACAATTCCATTCTCCCTTCCTATGTTAAAGGTAGAACCCTTCATTTTAGACTAAACAAACTGAAGTGCAAAAGGAAGGTGGGACACTGTATGAGTCTCACATTCAGTCCAAGTACTGTATTGTTAAATCTGTACATGCTGAAAGTGTGAATTTACCATATTCACAATATTATACTGCATACTGTTCCGTACGTAATGTATTTTCTTGTATTTTAGTCTATATAGTCAAAATCAGTAGACTTTCTAAAGCTTTACTACTTGCAATTTTAGGGTTCCAAGCACTGATGGAGTTGCAACTGCAGTTGCTTAGATTTGTTTTTATTTTATTTTTATTTACTATTTTTTCCTGCCACATTGTACTTTATTTAAAGGGCCTATATCATGGGAATTTTTCTTCTGCTTTGAAATGAATTAGACATTGAATGTAAACAATTTTTCAAAATGCACCGATCCCTAGGAAAATGTGGCCTGTGCAAAAGTTACGGTGCACTTTATATTTTATGTTTTTTTCACTGTTAAACTCAGCAAATAAATAGAAAGTTTGCAGAGAAATGCCATATTTAATTCTGTCCCCTTTATAGCATGTGTCAACTTATTTTCACTTAGAAAATCAACAAAACATGTCATTTGACCAAGGGTGTTAAAATTCAAATGACTTCAAATCAGTCAAGGGCCAGCAACAAAAACAGACCACTTCATTCAAAATGATACAGAGAGGTCTGAATGTAAAATGGATTGTATTGTAAATTCAATTTAATAATGAATTCTGACTATTTTTGGTACATTAAATCACATAAGTTATACATAGATATCAGGGGACAAAATAAGATAGAAGGCACAAAGGCCTTCTAATTTATAATAATTTATTAACTATGTCTGTGTTAATGTGAGCAACTGCTAAGGCAAATTCTTTGTAAATGTTGTCTTCCTAAATAAAATCAATTCTGATTCTGATAAACAAAGATCTGGAGACACTTGTGAAGTCTGTGTGTGAACACATCCATAACTAATTCATATGATAAAGAAAAAACAACTCTAGAAATGAAAGACAGTGCCTCTTTCTGATGCAACATTTCAACAGATTGTTTCGTTCTCTCAGTCAAGCTTTTCTAAAAAAAACATCCATCTGAAAAAAACATGCATTATTTATAATTTACCACATTTACAGGTCAAGCAAAAGTTCAAGAGCAAAGTTTTAAGACAGCAAAATGATGACGATTGACGAATGATTACAGTATTACAGATGGTATGAGGTATATGACATGTAGACCTATGGAGCAGAGTGATCACTCTACATCACAGTGATGATGACTAAGGTATTGGAACCTGGCACTTACCTCTGATGATGGACAGTTTGGAGGTGACAGCGATTTCACCCTCGCTGTTCCGGGCCACACACTCGTAAACGTTCTCGTCCCGCGGCGCTCGGAGAGGCTGGATACGAAGCACCGCCCCCGCGCCTTCATCAAACTCTATGGTCTAGATCAATCAGAGCAAAGTCGATTAACATCAACAATCAGGGTGAAGCAGCATATCGCTGCTGTCGGAACAAAACCTCATATCTCCAAAATGGTAACTTTACAGTAGAAGGAAAAAACCTACTTTACTCTTAATGTAAGTCAAAAGAACCAGAATTTTTTCCAATTAAATTTGGCCCATTTCTTTTGGTCCATTCTTCATGAAATTTAAACACAATGTAAAGGACAACAGGCATTTTCAGATCATGTCAAAAAATGAAAAACAACAAAAATGGAGATACGAGGTTTTGTTCCGACAGCAGCGATATGAGGCCAAAACACAATTATTAGGAATGCACCAATATGGGAATATTTTTCACGTACATATCAGTTCAAGCCATTAGCATTACAGAGAAATGTATATTTATTTGTATTCATTTTACTATTACAAATGCAGTAAAATGAATAAAAACTGATATTTTATTACAGTAACCCAGCGTCAGTTAAACATTCTGCATATCCTGAGCATAGTACATACATTATCAAATACTGGTTTGAATTATCAGTCAAATCCAAACATTTGTCCAATGGCAATCACTTTTTTTTTAATAATTACTGCTAAAAAAACAATCCAATACCAAAGTGACTCTAATACAATCATCTCTAGTATTTATACAACTCTACAAAATGAAGTAGTACAATATATGAGTACTACAAAGCACATGAAAAATCTGGAGACACCTTGCCAAGAAATGTTTGGACTCTGATTCTTTACAGTGGTGGTGAGAGAAAGGAGGGGTTGACCATCATGAAAATACAGCCATTTTATTTACTATCCAAAACAATCAGTGAACCTACACAAGTTTTTATATGTGATGGTGATAACAGTAAAATAGTAGTAAATTTAAAAAAGGGCACTACTTTGCCTTATAACTCCTTGCATATACTTCTCCAAAATGAGTGCATAAAAAGGTTTTAGACCAAACTCTTCTCTCAAAACTATCATAAAACAATGTTTGAGGCAATAAATCAGACAACTAATTCATAGCCATTTCTTATAAAAGCTGATGTAGCTTTTAGGGGCATTAAAAACTTCAGGCGTCTGTTTCCCATCATCATCAGCTTGAACAATTCTCACTCCATATGTTTCTCTAGAATTCTCTAGAACCATTCTGAATGACTTTGTTTACCTCTTTACCATTTATGCAGAACTTTTGGTATACTCCTATCTGTTCAGTGGAGATCTTAGCTGCCAATAGGAATATACACATTACTAGTCTTTTAATTTTTTTATTCTATTTTCATTGTTAGCATAAAATAGCTATTTACTAACACTAAAACTGTTTGTAATTTTTAACACTCATGCCTTTTTTACCTATGAGAAAAAATCAATAATAAATACTATCACTTGATATGTTTTGTCCTACAGACATTTTTCCTCTGAATGTCACTGGATCCTCTGAATAACTTGGTCATTAAGAGTCAAAAAATGAATATTGCTACATGCGAGGTAACAAAGCTGCATAGTGAGCTGACATCATGAGACTGGCAACCTCCCCAGAATGCCCCACACAAACTGGCAAGCTTTATTAAATGTAGTGGTTAAGTTGCTTTGACAGTAGTACACTCTTAAAAATAAAGGTGACACAAAAGGTTCTGTGTGTGCTTCCATAGAAGAGCTATTCTGGTCCCTTAAATAAGCTTTTAATGGATGGATGGTTCTTTAGAGAAGCAACATCAGCTACTCAAACTGTGAACATAAAGGTTCTTTGAATGATGCCACAGAAGATCACTTTAGTTCCTTAAAGAACCATTTTTGTAAATATGATGTGTGGGTGTGAATAATCTATCTAAAGGAGTTTAAAGAACCTCCTCATAATATAAAAGCTTTAGGAAGAACCCTTAAATTGGTCGAGAACTTGGACATTCTGTGAAGGTTCTTTATATCTTTAAAAGATTCTTCATACTCACACAACTCATTCAAAACACAGTTCTTTAAGGAACTAAAATGGTTCTTCTTATGACATCACCCGAAGAACCCTAAAGTTTGAGTAGCTGATGTTGTTATAGAACAAAGCTGAAGTACAGTATTAGGCAGTATTAGTATTAAAGCATTTATGTGGCAATATCCATACTGATATGACTATTAAATGACCTCACAGTTCAAAGGATTCAGTGACACTCAGAGAAATAAATGTACACAAGAGAAAATATATTGGGTTTGGAACATTTTTGTTTACCACAGAGGAAAGTCGGCAGCAATTTTTGAGAATGTCATTCATTTTTCTGCTGGAGAAAGAACCTGGAGTACCTTATATGTCTTCAGAGGTCAGTGTATTATATTAAGTCATTTCAAACTAACAAAGAAAACAAGCTCATTTATTAAAAACACTCTAAAAAGCTAACATCTGACAGTTACTGTCAGTGTTCCTCTCAGTGTTTCATCTCAAAATTGATCATACACCGATGACCAAAAGCATTATGACCAATTACAGATTAGGTGAATAGCATTGATTATCTTCTAACAGCAGCGCATGTCAAAGTCTGGGATATATCAGATGGTAAGTGAATAGTCAGTTCTCGTAGTTAACATGTTGGACGTGGGAGAAAATGGGCAGGCGTGACGACCCGAGTGACTCTGACAAAGATCAAATCGTTATGGCCAGATGACTGGGTCAGAGCATCTCCGAAACAGAAAGGCTTTGTAGGGCGCTCCCGGTCAGCAGTGGTGAGTACCTAGTGACAGTGGTCCGATGAGAGATAAACCACAAATTGGTGACAGGGTGTTGGGCACCCAAGGCTCATCGATGTGCAAAGCCTATGAAGGTTATCCTGTCTGGTCCGATCTGACAATACATCTACATAGCAACAAACAGACCGCCCATGCACAGTTAAAAGCACCTACAATGGGCACGCAAGTTTTCTAACCGGACCTAGGAGCAATTGAAGGAGGTCGCCTCGTCTGTTGAGTCCAGTTTCCTTTAACATCACAAGGAAAGCCAGGTACACACGCACTGTTTACCTAGGGATATGATGTCACCAGGATGCACTTTGTGCAGAAGACAAGCCGGTGAAGGGAGTGGGATGCTTTGGACAACGTTCTGCTGGGAAAACTGGGGTTTGGCCATTCATGTGGAGTCAATTTGACACGTACCACCTACCTAAACACTGTACACCCCTTCATGGCAATGGTATTCCCAGTGGTAATGGCCTCTTTCAGGAGGACAATGTGTCCTGCCACTCTGCACACACTGTTTGGGAATGGTTCAAAGAACATGACGAAGAGTTAAAGATGTTGCCCTGGCCTGCAAATTCCCCAGATCTCAGTCCAATTGAGCATCTGTGTGATGTGCTAGAACAACAAGTCTGATCTGCGGCGGCTCCCGTCTGTAACTTATAGAACTGCTAACGTCTTGGTGCCAGATACCACAGGGCACCTTGAGAGGTATTGTAAAGTCCATGCCTCGGTCAGAGCTGTTTCGATAGCACGCTGAGGACCAGCAGCATATCAGCAAGGTGGTCATAATGTTTTGGCTCATCGGTGTGTATTTTAATCTCAAAATACTTAATATGTGAATGCATACCATCATAGAAACTAGCACTATAAAATATAACCTTCCGCTGCTCAGAATATCAGTCATTTCTTCAATATAAAGGAGCTGTATGACACAGATATCTCCAACGCAGACTTCTGCGCTTAACATCCCACTCACGTGAATTGATTTCATAGAGCAACGTTTAAATGTAAGTAATTGTTAAGTGTAGAGGGAACATATTGCTCACAGTTGTTACTGCTTCATTCCTATTTGCATTTCAGATTTTAGTGGCGAGTGCAATAGTTTCTTCTCGGCTGCAGGCAACAGGGGTGGGAGGAATATTCGCTGGTTTTATGAGCGTTTTAATTGCACTCTGCATGTGCAGATGCCTTTGTGCATGGCCACGGAAGATGTTCGCTTTTTGTTCGGCTGACTTGGGTGGAAAGGCTAAGAGCTTAGAGAGCCGAGTTTAACTTGCTGCCATGCATAATAAATACAACTGCTCGCTGAAGGTACAAGCAGACAAAAGAGACAGTTAAAAAAAACATAACATGAACTGAGTATCTTTCTGCATGATAGTTGAATATAAGTAGATATATATTATCAGTGTAAAAATCTGACGGTGCTAATTCAATTGATTTGGCCTGCTGGAACTGTAATAATATTCAGTAAAGAATGCGCTCACTTTTATGAAGAATAAAAATCTTGGGCTATTTTTACAAGAAATAAAAAAACAAAAAGAGAAAAAATAAATAAAATAAAAGTCTGGTGTACTTTATTATCTACACTGCATTACTATCTAAACAGTTCCTCAAGTCATATTTGTGTATTTGGTATGTTTTTCAATTCTAAACCAAGTTAATCGAATTGAAGAATGAAATGAAGACGCATATACACTATTTGTCCAAAAGTATCCAGAAACCCTTCTAATTAGTGAAAGTAGCTTTGAGGTGCACCAATTGCTGACACAGGTGTTTAAGTGTGAATACACTTAAATTTCCACAGAACAGCTTTGCCAATAGAATGGCACACTCTGGAACAGCTGCACATGAGTCTAAGGTCACCATGCCCGATGGTAAGTTACAGCAAGAGGGGTATAAAGCCCAGTGTTCTCTGTAGTGACAGAGCTCCATCCAATACCTTAGGGATGAGTTGGAATATATAAATATAAATAATTGCGATTAGCATTTTGTTTTGTTTTTCACTGTGAGCAACAGTTAAGGAAGAATTCCACCATTTTTTTCCAAATTTCTGCATTTTTAATCAGTAAGATGTAAACAGAGTGGTTTGATGTGATTATTGTACTGAAACATAGAACAGAATTTCTTCATAGTGGTGTGGTAGGAGCCAGGCGCTGCGATGTCTACCACACATATTATTTACGATCCAAAACCAGTGAACCTACAAGTGTCTACACAAGTTTTGATAAAATGTTGATGTTGATAAAATAGTGGTGAATCTGAAAAAAATAGATTTTTTAGGCTACTATTTTGACTTACATGTACCTCTCCACCATACATGAATTTTAAAGGCTCCAGGCCAAAACCTTTTAAAAAACTGTCATAACATCTCAGACACTATGTTATAACTTTCTGTGATGAGGCTTAGTTTAATGTAGTGGCATTAAACTCTTCAGATGTCTGGTTCCTATCACCACCACGGTGAACAATGCTGATTTGGTGAGGTTGTCTAGAATGGAGCATTTCACATCAAAACACTCTAAATGACTTCATTTACATCTTCATAATTTGATTATGGCAGAAATATAAAAAATCACTGGAATTCCTTTTTGAAAGTAGAAGCCTAAATTGGCCAAATTGATTGTTTATCTTGTTAGTAGCTATCAACTGATGACATACTCTGCTCCAATTCAAATAAACAAACATTGCTCACTGCTGCCCTCTAAAGGTGTTATAGCACCTAGTTAGAAGTTGTAAAGTTTGTTGCTAAATAAGTCTCATGATTTATACTTTTTATTTATGTATTTGCCTCAACCCAAATGATAAAAATGCACCAAATGCACATTCTATTTCAACACAGCTCAAATTTTGATCAGGTGATCATCTAGGGCACGTTCAATCTCAAAACGTTGTGCACCATTTTGCTATGAGTCGAACTACGTGTTTCGTTGAAACTGTGCGAAACTCTCATTTGATGGGTGTGTCAGGTGTTACCCAATCAGCAGCAACATGTATTTAAACCCCATCAAATTAAAAAAGCAGCACACACAATAGATTCTAATACAGTCCTCTATAAATGCGGCTGCTGCAGCTTGGTGTACGCAACAAGTGAAGACATTAGAATACATGTTTTGAAGTACTAAACACGTGTTTAGAACTATTTCATCAGGCTCCAAAAATTATGAAAAAAAAACGCCAAAAACGGCCTTCTCAGCTACCACAGTTGCAACGCTTGCGTAACAGTGTTCATCTGACACACATATGTTTGACTCATATAGGATATACAAGGATAGCTGATGGAATTTAGCAAGTAACTCCTAGTTAACTCCTGAATAAGTAACAAATGGTCCATTGTATCCATGAAAGAAACGCATGAGCAAACACATGCATGCAAAAGCTGCAATGTTCTAGGACTGAGTACATAATCCAATTATATAGCACGTAACGACAAAGGCAAAATATTGTATATGAAAAGAGAGAAGAGGGGGGTCATATCAAATGTGCTTGGAAAGTGCGAAGTAACGGCATGGCTTTTGGTTCAACCCTTTGCAATCATTAAAGATTCATGGAATATGAAATTAAGTTTGCGAAAAAGAGGCAGGAAATGCACACAGGGGGAAAAACACCATCTTTCGCTGTGCACTCTCATAGCCTGCTCTCGCTGCTGAATGATAGCTTAGCCATAGGTGGTTCGCCAGAAGCAAAGCTGCATCTCAGAACACCATAAAACCCTTAAAATGGAAAAGATAGCCTTACAATGTACAACTGTCCTCAAAAAGGCAGAATTGAAGTCATTTTAGGTAAAATAAAGGTATATGGAGCTCAACTGTGAACAACAGTGGTTGCCAGGTAACAAATGTCACACACTCCACAGCACAGATGGCTAAATCAGTGTGTGCAACGTGTGTGTGTATGAGTTCTTATCTCACCTCTATCCTCTGGGAGTTGACCTTTTTGCCCTTTTTGTTCCAGTTGACCTGTGGCTTAGGATCGCCTGTGGCTTGGCACACGAAGGACACCACGCCGCCGGACACTCCTATCTGGTCAGTGGGGATCTTTGAGAATCTGGGGGGAGCTGGAAAAGGGAAGAAACATAGAAGATGATGATATTATGGCTTTAAAAGTACAAAAATAGTGCTTCAGAGGGCAGCTACAGTGTAAAAAAATGTAATAATGTACTGCAATTGAATAAAGACTATTGATTCTAAAATCTGAGCCACTTTAAAGCCATTGTAAAATATTTGGTGCCACACATATGACCGCTTACATCAAGTGAATTCTGTATTAACGTAATCTTTTTTCAGAAATGGCTTCTTAGCAGCTACACATCCTTTTAACAATATACTTTACACCATCACCAGATTCCACATTACTCCCTACTGCCCCTAATACTGCACAATAAGAGTATATCGCTGCTGTCAAAACAAAAGCTCATATCTCCATTTTGTTGTTTTTCAGTTTTTTGACATTATTTGAAAGTGTTGTCCTTTTCATTGTGTGAAAATTTCACGATGAATGAACCAAAAGAAATGACCCAAAATTACTTGGAAAAAAGTCTGGTTCCATTGACTTACATTAAAAGTAAAGTACATTTTTTCCTTGTCCTGTAAAGTTGTCATTTTGGAGATATAAGGTTTTCTTCTGACAGCAGTGAAATGTTACTATGTGTGTACTTATCTAAGCAGTCTGCAATCTAGGAATTCATATCAGTCTAAGCAGTCCTGTCTTTAATTCCACCAACAGACAACTATACCATTCTGTCGTACGGTATTGCATCACATGTTTTTTGAACTCCACTTTTGGAAACTCCTGTTTTTTAGGATTATCTTATCTAATCTCTTTAGAAATATCTCCCAAAAAATGACTTGTAATTAATGGCCATTTTGGCTGGAAATAAACTGAAGAGTGGTCTCAGACTTTCGCACAGTACTATAAAGGCATCCCATTACACAGAGAAACCTACACACACACTCTTTTTTTCCAGATATGAAGCACTGGTGGAGCTTGATTTTCTCCTGGCGGTCTACCAGGTTTTGCATGGTTGTTAGGGATCTCATTTTCTCTGTATCTTTTAATCATTTTTTTCAGCCCCAGTTTTAGAAACTCCTGTTTTTTCCCTTTTTTCCCTTTGACCATAACCTTCCTTATGCAGGTGAATTATTTTATATATAATCTCCTCCAATATATCTTCTGAAAAATGAATAACTTGTACTTTTGTACTCTTAATAAGTAACTTGTACTTTTAATAAAATGATGTGCATGTACCAGCAATAAACTGGTTTTATAACCATGAAAAGTGATTCCAAACTTCTGAACAATAGTGTATAAACTGTTAAGATGTGCTGTGTCTTTAAAATCTACAATAAGAACTTCTCTTTACAGTGAAGTATTGAATTTATTCAATTCAAATGTAATATTTTTTCCAGTGGAATTAAGCATAAATATAAATATTAAATACAATTTTGTCTTGTTTTTTGTAGTTTGGCAGCAACTGCATTTATGTAATATATTCAATTCATGTACAAAGTCTATACACATTGGAATCAAGTCCAATTGTTTTTGCAGTGTGCTGGTACAATGAGAATAGAGCTGAATTAAATTGAACTGGAACTATTGATAATTGCATGCACGGCCGCTTTTTAGTTATTATAATACACGCCGGCCTACTTTAGCCAGAGGACAGATCCATGTCAGAAGCCAAAGAATGGCGTGATGAAATAAAAAGCCAATAACTCATGGCAGACAAAAGGCCGGGTTTGCATGAGTGGCACTCTTCGGGCGATTTAGAGCTGTTATGTCACCACGCTGACAGGAAGCAATAAATACTACACGGCTGTAATTCTGCAGCTGAATTTAATAAGGCATGGGGCTAAGCCCCGCCCTCTCTTGGCCACTCCACTCGGATGCAAAGCGGATCGAATTCCCCATGGACACATAGCAGCTAAAGCGTGGGGGGGCATTACGTCTACTCTGACACACGGGAGGCCGCTGGTAGTCATAGATACCGGCATTCAGAGCGGAGGATCATCGCTGCCGTGTCCCGTTGCCATGGAGGCCAGTCAAACAGAGGTGAGGATGATCTGGGCTCCTCCCCACCCCCACTCCCACCCCCACCAGCCCTCCACGACGGGCTCAGACTCATCCGTCAGGGCTAAGCCTAGCCTGGCTCTCACCATGGCAACCAGAACCCACACCTCGCCTCTCCGCCCCCACCTTGTCTCATTTGCAGGTGAGTGTGTGTTGTGTGTTTATGGCTGCCTGGACAAAGCTGGAGCACAAGCACCTCTCGAAACAGCCACGTACTGCTTTACAAAAAGGCTGACTAAAAGTATTTAACCCTCAGAAGTCACAGTCACTGCCAGCTGTATAAAAAGCTTGCAATCTCACAAGAACCTTTTTACATAATTCAGTCAATAAGATAAGTAAACAAAGCCGTTTAGAGGGGTTTGATGTAAAATGCTCTGTTCCGGAGAAACACAGTCTGATTTGTTCACAGTGGTGGTGATAAAAATCAAATGTCTGAAGAGTTTAATGCCTCCAAAAACTACATTACAGAATATTATTTTATGAAATGGTAATGGAAAACGCTGCCTGATGGCTGAGGCACTGCTAGTTTTGGGAGAAGGTTTTGGCTTGAAATGTATCTTTCAAAGAAATCTGAGACCAAGTTTCTCTGCAATGAACCATTTCACATCAAACAACTCTGAAAGACTCTGTTTACATCTCAACCATTGAATTATGTAGAAATTCTAAAAAATTAAAGTTCTCCTTTAACTATCTTATTGAAAGTAGTGGGGGATTTGCTGTCGAAAGTGCGGATAAGTGCAATATGTTGACCTCAGCTCTACAATACTTAACTTTCTGTGTCCATTCTGATGAATAAGTCTTTTTTACGCGCACATATGGTTTTATGTATGTATATGAACTCCATCCTCTAAAATTCACTGGCCACCTATGGGCCACTAATCGTCCAGAAACTGAATATTTTTAATGTACATATTAGCTGATGACAATACAAACATTAAAAAAAAGTTAGGTAAAAAATTGGAACTAGACTCGTTTGGACTAGCATTGCATGAAAAATCTAACATTTATTTGTAGAAGGCTGAAAATGCAGTAAAATGAACAAAATACTGAGATTTTAGCACAGTCGCTCATCAAATACAGCATCAAATATTGGTTTAAAATATCAGTCAAACCTAAACATCTGTCTGACGCTGATTTTTTGAAGCAAATATCTGCCAACACTGATACGATTCCGATTCATTGTGTATCTCTACACTTCAAAGGGTTAACATTCTAATAAAGGTTCCATAGCAGTAAAGTTAGATTAGAGTAGAACAGAAAGATGAAGGAAGGAATAGGAGAAGGACAGAGGAGAGAAGATAGGAGAGAGAGGAGGAATTTGTGTGGGGGGTCAGAGAGAAAGAGGGAGAGAAACGTAAGAGTGAGAGTGATGGCAGACTAAAGTAATCCCGAGCTGAAGGGAGAGCGATGAGGGAGCCGAGAGAGGCAGTGATGAGCTCTACAGATAAGGACACAAAAAGAGGCCGTTCGAGACAGGCTGCTGGCGAGGGGCGTTGTCCCTCAACCTCTCCCAGCCCTTTAGCTTTACCCTCCGCTATCGCTCAGCGTGTTTTTGTTTACTTCAGAAGTCGCAGAATCTTCCAGAAGCACTGGGACGTCCTTTAGGATTACGGAGTCCCTCAGTAACAGGAGGCTTTAAAGCCGACCGCTCCGCGGGGAGCCGCTACACTGATGTAACTCACACACAGTCTTTCTCGCACCGCACACACTTGCATATCGAGACTATCTGAAGTAACCTCATAACTTCTTTTCTTTTGTTTTGTTTTTCACTATTTGAAAATGCTAGCTGGTCCTTACACTGAGATGACGAATGAACCAAATCAGGGGTCGGCAACATGCGGCTACGGAGCCACATGTGGCTCTTTTATTGTCTTGTTGCGGCTCCACAGCAGAAATAGATTTTTAGGTAATACAAAATAATCCTCCTTTGCAGTAAAATAAAGACCTGCTGATCGTTCAACACAGTTTTAACACTATATGGCCTTAACCGCTGGAGTTAATGTATAACTGCTAGTTCACCCTTTAACCCGGAAGATTGGTGTGCAGACTGCTGGTCACCATAGCAATGCAGACAACAATCTCACCTAGCTAGTAGCTAACGAAAAGACAAAGAGAAAGATTTCTGATAAATGTAATCTGCAACGAGAAACTGTCAAACACTAAAAAGTTGTGAAGTCGAAATCAGCCTATTATTCAAATTGTCCCGTTCCACCTTAAATGGTGCAGCAGTTACATTCTGGTGCCTCAGGCACCATTTAAGGTGGAACAGGAAAATTCAAATAAGAGTCTGACGAATGAGACACTGACTTCAGCCTCGTAAAAAGTTGAACGTTGAGAAACATTTTACAAGAAACTATTCTACTTTTTTTCCTGCCAGAGATGCGAGAAAAGCAGCTATAGTTGTGTTAAAGCTTAAAGCAGAGCAAAGTAAGTCGGCGTTTTCGATTATGTTTTTTAGCCTACACTAGTACATTAACACATACTGAGACATATTTACAGCCAAAATGGTAAAATGGATATAAAGCTGGTTTTTGTTGAATGGACAACTCCTGAACCAAATGGTATTCTAGTTACATTAACAAATGTTAAAACATTACTTTGACCAAACACGCTAAAGCGGCTTAAAAAAACTGAAAGTTAGTTAGCATGCCCTGCTAGAAACAGTGTACAGATTGTGACAACAGAAATCCAACAAACCTCTCCTTTTAACAAATAATAGCTAAAATACAAAATTAGAAGAGCAACATTCACTACTGTGCAAAATAAAAATATTAATTAGTAAGTACTAATAGTCCTACTAATATCACAATATTTATTTTTCTGTCAACTGATAAGCTGCAACAGACAAAGTAGCACCACATTTCAAACATATACCATCAAACACTATGAATCCAATTATTTATATTTAACGTTTTACGTACTTTGCTGAACTAAATTCACTTAAACAGGACTCAATATACTGTCTTTGCAATCTAACAAGCAGTTGGGAAGTGTTTAAGTCTGACAATATTCACGATATGCTTAGAAAAGCATATTGTGACACACCGCAATTTGTAATTTATCATGATAATGATCACTATTGTCATATTGACCAGCCCTACTGAAAGACTAAAAAACAGCTTTTGCTATAAAGACTACAAAATCAAATACATATATTTATATTTTTTATATAAGCTAATAAAAATTAATAAATATATGGTTCCTTAAACAGCTCCTTCTAATGATGCAAGACTGTTGTGACAGTAGCCATTACTGATTCACATATTTTACCCACAGCACCGAAAATGAAGTAATCATCACAGCTGGAGTATTTTTAAAGGCTAATAGTTCAGGATAGAGTAGTTTTTGAGCTGTTTTGCTATCGGCTGTTTAGTTACTCACTCCTCATGCAGGAAAACAGAGTTCAAGCCCCGTACAGGGAAGCACTTGCTGGGCTTCTAAAGCTACATTTCTGCTAATTAAACGACATAACTTTGGCGTGAAGTTATTTGATCCGTTCTGTCAGCGCTCATCTTGATGCGTTTATTGTGGAAATCGGCATAAATTTTTTATGCATCGTGCAGCCCTACCATACACCCGCACATCCACTCTGTCAAACTCCCGCATACCCCGACACACACAGCAACAAAGTCTTTTATTTGACCAGTGGTGCCGTTTCATCCCAGAGAACAAAGAAACAAAGACATCAGCGGCAACCTTGAGGAGCAAGACCGAGAGCCGCCGCTGTGTCTTATCCAATGATGTCACGCTCTCCAGCGCGCACCATCCCCATGACAACTGCCATCAAAGACCAATCAAGGAGGAGGAACGCTAGCAAGAGGAGGAAGTGTAATCGTCTCTCGCGCACGCACGGCGCCGATCAGCCGAGACGTGACGATCAGAAACAATCTGATGACCAGGAATGATAATCAGATGCTACAGAGGTACAGCAGGCATCTTTAGTATCTCATAATCAACAGCTCCATTTTGTGCTGATAAATATAAATGTACTAATATTCAGCATTCAGGTGAGCTGTGCTGACCACAATGGTTTAAAGGGCCCATATAATGGAAAAACGAATTGTGCTCACATTTTTGATATGAAAGAGTTTCATATAGTGATGTAAACATTGTTAAAGTTTCAAGTTGCAATAAATCCCCAGTCTATACAATCCCTATATAAAAACTAAGCTGTATAAACAGCACTGTATGAACTGCTTTTTTGAATGAGGCAAAATACATGGCAATCAATCAATCAGAAAAAAAGTCATTCACATATCTTAGTCTTAAAAGCGCAGCCTGTTTGATTCTAAGCAGTAAAGAGAGGTTGGAAAATAGTCTGTATTTGGTACATAAAACCAAACAAAGTGTGTAAATATTTAAGTATGCTGTTTGCACAATGCTAATTAGTGGCTATAAGCTTTGATAACTTGTTAGCTCCATTTTCTTCATGGCTCCACTGCAAAAGTAAAGAAGCAAACGTCAGACACCAAACATGTCTTAGCCGATCACCTTCATTTGGTGTAAGCAGAAGACCAAAAATCAGTTTTTTCGCCAAACTATCAGCTTTACCAGACTCTGAGGAACTGGGAGATGGATCTCACACGTGAGGGAGGATAATCACATGGCTGCCATGGTGCTCGAAAGACAGGCATTGTCACACTTGTCACGTTCTAACAGATACAGGTTCGTGTCAGGCGCTGAGATTTAATGTCAGGTGTTAAGCATACTTGTGTCCTCGTCAACCTTGACATATCACTCAACCTTCACCACACTGTTGCATTTCAGCTAGTTCATTAGCAAAAAACATCTCCCACTGTTTCCATAACTACAGTATGCGCACATATATAGGCACCGTGGGACTCTGGATTGTTTCCATACCGACGGGAACTTGTTAATAAAGCACACAAAACCTCAGAGACGTACATAAGGCATGGCAGGTGCTGGAGAGCGAGGAGAGCAGGAAGGCCAGCAGGAGCAAGAGGGCTGAAGGAAACACACACGGCCCGGGACTGGGTGGGCCTCCGCTGGGACGGGGAGCCATGGCAGGACTTCTTGCACGATCGTCCAGACACACTGGAGAGAGAGAGAGGAAAAAGTTAGTCTTGCATAGTGTGAACGTTGGCATGGCTTTGAGGTCCCTTCCAATAGTGCAATAAAGGGGCCAAAAAAAGTTCTTTGGATCAGGGCCACAGAAGATTCACTTCTAGTTCCCTAGAGGGTTGTTCTTCAAATGAGAAGTGCAAAAGAGAACAACCTTCCATATAAGAGTTAATGCCAAATAAAGTTGTTTCCATACATTCCAGACAAGCTGTATTTTTAAGAGTGTTTTGTTGGGAGGGACCTCAAAACCCAGTAGAAGGTGCACCAAATACAAATTTCCTTTAAAACTCAACATTAATAAGTATTTAGTATGTAAGGGTACATAGAGGGTACCATTTTATAATGTTAATTAACACATTTTATTTTGACAGGCCATTAACATTAACCATTCAGTTTACATTCAAGTTACGGCTAAACAATTATTCGAGATGATCAACAATGTCGAAAATAAAAAATCTGCAGCATTTATTTCTGCCAATTTTTCATTTATATTTTCAAAGTTGTGCCCAACCTAGAGTGAGTTAATGACCTAACCCGAAGAGAGCAGCAATTCACTTATAGTGTACCTACGTGAGCAGATAGCGTAAGAAAAAGAACAATTATACTGAAAGTGAAAAAGAGCAAAAAGCACTATTTTACTAAAAGAGCAGAAAGCACTATTTGGGTACTCTTCTTTAATCACAAGTAGATGCCAACAATTCTGGAAAACTGTGATTTTATGTTTAACAAGAACGTGAATGTTTTGTTGATATTTGTGGGTAAGTACGTACATTACATAAATATATTATGTATATTGACACGAGCGCTATGCCAAGGACACATTCGTCACTGCCTGAGAAGCCAGAGGCAGCATGGCTTTACTGCTAACTCTGTTTAGGTTATCATCTCTAGCTGATGTTAGCTAGGTCCACAAACAGAAACAAAATACAGGGCCTCATTCACCAATATCTTCCTAAGTTTCATCTTAAGAACGCTTGGTGAATGAGGCCCATAGTTCTCTGACAAACTAGCATGTTGGCACATTGTCCACTGAGGAGAAAAGAACACCTGTAGAAAACAGCTCGTCCTCATCAGCACCCTATGTTTCGCAGGTGAGCTGTAGTAGCTCATTCGCTCAACTGAAGAGGCAGCCTCAGTTACTCACCCAACATGAAAACCTACTGATTTCCTTGAGCTATTTTTGGATAATAAAATAGGATTTAAAACGTGCTAATTAATGTGTTATTGACTTTTTAGCCTAAAAAGTAAGCCTACAGCCCTCCATTAATTTCATCAACTACAATATCCAAATATATATCTGTTTTAAATTTTTTATAGCATTTACCTTTTCTTCAAGTTTTTTGGTGATGGAGCCTAACAGTAAAGCGAAAGCAGGAGCAAACATGGTGATAGCATGTGAGTTAAAGCTTAATCTTTGTAAAATAAAAGAAATTAGAATTGTGAATGTCACACAAACCATTTGTACAGGCATGATATCTGCCTGCTGCTGTGGCACACATGCTGTAGCCCTCCAGTTTCCCCCACCAAGTGCATTTATCCAGTACAGCTCAAAAGCTGCATTTCTACAACAGCCTTATCTATGCTAGGTACAATAAATGTGGTATTGATGTTGGATATCACATCATGCAACATTATTGCTATGTTCATGTTTGGGAATAGAAGTGTCTTGCTATGATTCGATTGCAATAAATCAATAAATTGAAATTTAAAAATGAGTTTTTACCATTACTGGGGCTGTTACTGTGGTAACTTAGTTAACCATCAGTGGGCAGAGCCCTAACACAATTATTCAGGCCAAAACAAGGTATTGAATTTTGCAGTAATAGCATATAATAGCATGTCTGCACTGGACTATGTGCACCCCAATACCTTCATAGAGTTGTAAGTAAAATACCTACAGAAACAACATGCTGCGTCTGCTCTTACTGAAAGCACAAACATCAACATTGTACAAATGTAGTACTGCCAAGCAAAGCAGGAATTATTTTTCCATTATTATGTAATTAATATCTTGCAATTTAGTGAAGGAATTGCTTACACCCACTTTTCAGCTCATAATGAACAGTCCACTCCGAAGCAAATCTATGTCTAAGTGCTGCAGAACGCTTTGACGTTAGTGTAATGCATTGTAGCATTAATCTGTAGCACTTGTGCTACCATTCGACTATAGCGGATATAGATTTTTTTACGAGGGGCCCATTAATTATTGAAAAACTTCCCAAGCCTTCCCAAGCAGTGTGTGTTTTACTGGCTAGCCTTCACATTAGGTGCAGCTTATGCCGGAGTATTGGTGGGTGGGGGGGTTCGGTGGGGGGGTTATCAGCGGCAGAAGATTCACCTATCCAGCAGTGCGCTGCAGAACCACCCCAGCAAGAAGTCAATATCTGCACGAGTAAAATCGATTTTACTCATTTCTGGGCGTGTGCAGGTGCAAGAGCCAACAAGGCAGGATCCGATATTACCTCGATCCACGCATAACTCCTTTCTTTCTACTCAGCTTGTTTATAGTTCAGTTCTGATGAATGACGCTGCGAGAGGCGAAGCTAGAACGTTCCTGAGGGGACTGAGCAATAACAGCACCTACAGTCGTACACAATACCCTTGGTCAAATTACATGTTTTGATGATTTCCTAAGTAAAAATAAGTTAGCACTCCTCTGAAGGGAACAAGCTGAAATATATATATTTTTAAAAATTCAAATTTTAGTGCACAATTTCCTTTCATTGGGAAAAAAATCAAATAAAAAATATTAAATTTACCCAATATGTTCAATTTAGCGAATAAACAGTAGGTAAGCATCACAATGTGCAGACGTGCAAAGGAAATATATGTCCATATATGTCCAAATATATGGACACACACACACACACACATACATATATATATATATATATATGTATGTGTGTGTGTGTGTGTATATATATTTTATATCAACAAATATATGTTCCTTCCATATGGGTACTTTCACTTTGAAACTCCACAAAACATGTCATTTGACCAGGGTGCTAACACTTTTGCATATGCCTGTATTTAAAGCAGTTAAATATGCAAAATCAATCTAGAATTATGATAAAACTTAAAGAGGAAATGGCATCAGCCTGAAACAGGAAATGACCAATAAGAAGCATGATTAATAACCATACTGCCTTTAATTTTCTCTTCAGTCTTATATCATAAATCATTGGAGCCGCTGTTAATTGCCAGACTTAAGACAATCAATTTGAAATTGATTTTATCAGAATAGATTTTTGCATGTCTTTATTTTCCAAAAATGAAATGACCAATAACGACAATTAATCATCTTAATACCTCTAATTTTCTCCAGTCGGCCTTTTATCATAAATCAGTGGTGGTCACATCCATATACAATTCCACCAAAAAAGCCATTGTCCATTACTATCCGTCTGGGACTGAGCAGTAGCAGCACCTATTTAAAGCAGGCTGATCCTCTAACAGGCCTTTGTCATAAATCAGTGGTGGCCACATCCATATAAAACTCTAACCAGGAGCCACTGTCCATTACCAGAGGCAAGATAATCGATTTGGGATTGATTTTGACCAGAATAGATTCCTGGGTGCCACCAGTTCACTTCCTAAAGACATGGGCGTGGAACAGGAAATGACCAATAGTAACACTAATTAATTCTAATTTTCTCTGGCCTTTTGTAATTTGAGGTGGACACATCCACATAACGTTCTAACCAGGAGCTGCTGTCTATTATGATCCTCAAGATTCCTGTTGTCTCTAAAGAACAGAAAGAAGACACGAAATCTGCATCAAACAATAACGATAAAATTACAATAATAACTAAGAATCATGCTCCCTACAATTTTCTCTAATCTGCTTTTAATCATAAATCAATGGAGGTGCTGTCCAGTAGTAGCCTCAAGAGAATTGACTTGGAATTGATTTTTTTTTTACCAGAATATTTTCCGGTGTGCATTCGTTTTCTACAAAGGAAATGGCAGTCTGAAACAGTATAGGCCCAATCCCAACAGAATTAATAATCTCACTACGGCTGCATTTTAATATTTTTTTTCGCCCACTTTAACTCCACACAAATGTGCATCACATCTACTTTAAACAAGTGAAGAGGCCAGTGAGCTAATGGGCTAGTCATGCAAACTTTGCAATATAATCATATTTTGAGACGTTTGAACATAACATATATAAAACTTGTGGATAACTGATTGCATTTGGCTATAAAAGTGGTGTAGAACCGTGGTGCATTCCTTTCTTTTTGTTGTTTTTGGCTATGTAGCCTTTAGCATGCTAACTAGCCAGCTAGCTGAGTAAAGTGATGACGTTACATCAGAAGTCATGTATTACTGATGAGGTAGTTTGTAACCTAAAGTCCGGCAAATCAAATGCTATGGTTTTGAAATGTTAAGCATTTTACAGTAGTTTACTGCTATAAACTGATCTGTCCGCCGTTATTTTCAGGTTTGAAGAAGGGAAATGCGCCAGGCCGCAATCGTTTCCAGTGCAGTTCTGCTGCTGGAGTTTGACACTGGTGTTCGCTCAATCCCTCACCCATCCTAAGGCTCATCTAACACCCTTTACCTTAGCTGATTAAGTAATGGAACGGCTCTTAAGATGGCAAAATGGGGAAATGACGAGGCCAAGTGGACAAATATCAAAACTGGTACTGAAACATGTAGTACTTTCGATTTTGAATAGATTTTTTTTCCAGAATAGATTCCTTCATTTTTAAAAGATGGAAATGACATCAGCCTGAAACGATAATGAATAATCTCACTACCTCCAGAGCCAACCTCTTCCAGGTTTTTAAAAAATAAATAGGTTCCTATGCAGCTTTTGTGCAGTTTAACACAATCATCTTTATACAGATAATGTGCTCATTTTCTCAACACAGAACAGCATAAAACATTTCAACACTGCTGTCATATTTCTGACTGCTTTTGAACTCCAGTTATAGGACCGTCTAACCACAGCCAGGCATGTCAACGCCACCTTCATTTGGGGCGGTCAACAATATCTATATATTATTTTTATTTATTTTTAGCACTCTGTATGTACACTTATGTTTACATCTTTTATGTGTTTTTATGACTAGTTTAACATTAATGTGTAGATTACTTAAATTAAGATATTAAACATGTTGATTGTGATGTGTTTGATCTGCTGTCTCTTTGCATCAGAGGAGATCCCATCACAGCCTGTAAGCATCAGATAAATGTAAATTTAAATACATTCATGTATCAGCTTCCTTGGCGCATTACAAATTTAGCACCATGTAAGTCATACATTTAAATAATCAGCAACATGCACATATGTAAACAAATTTGAAGACAATCGGATGAGTAATAAGGACGTTATGGTCGATGTAATGATGAAAACTTATATGTCTTTTATACAAGCGGATCCTGACCACGGATGCGCAAATGTATCACCTCAGACAGAGAACAGACAACACAGCGTCTCAGTATTTATATCTATGTTTCTAACAGTGCCTCACATGAACACACATGATACCAGTAAAAACTGTTCCATTCAGCCAATTAGCTGATCACCTCAGCAACCAGTCAGCACTCAGTCGCAGTAATGCTAGTGTCCTTCTGCCCAAAATCTGTTTGCTGTAGAAAAAACAGAAAGATGTAGCTAAGCTTCTCACATAAATGAGTAGAAGCACGTTCAAGCTTTCATTTAGCCATTTAGCTCCATTCACCACCATTTTTTGAGGACTTGCTCACAGACCTCTAGTGTTTTTTGGTACATTGGGGAAAACAAGAAGTAGCTCAGGCTTCCCTTAAACTGGTTTTGCTACCGCTAATCTTCTTTAGCATGTCCAGTGAGTTCAAGATGTCTTTGACTTCTGTTCGCCCTGCTTTCCAAACCTAAGACACAGAAAGCTAAAGCTTGCTAGCATCTGCACCACATTGAGCTCTGAATCCAACATGGCGACGTGTTGTTCCTGGTTTCAACCCAAGACTTTCTCCAGCTTTTATTACAAATTAAGGTGGACACATCCATATAAAAGTCTAATCAGGAGGCAGTGCCCAATGTCAGGATAATCGCTTTGAGGCAGATTTTTTCCAGAATAGATTTCTGTGTGCAATCATTTTAAAAGAGAAAATGATACCAGCCTGGAACAAGGAGTAACCAATAACCATGATGATTAATAACCTTTCTACTGTTAATCTTCTGTAGCATGTACAGTGAGTTCAAGATCTTTTTGCTTTGCTTTCCAAACCTACAGACCCAAAAAGCTAAAGCTTGCTAGCGTCTACACCCCGCTAAGCCCTGAATCCGACATGGCCGTCCATCACTCCAGGCCTCGACCCTGCTTTAACTAGCACGACCCCGTCCAGATGTCGAAACACTGCATGATACACAAACACAGTTAAACAACGGATCACACCACACCAGATGCAGGTCTGACACGGTTTTGCAGGGCAGACCATACGTTTTTATGTCTGCTCTGGTTTTGCTGCGCAAATGCACAATTAAGGGGAAAATCTGTCTTGAATTGTTAATTAGCAGTGTGGAAGGATTGTTTTGACACAGGTGAAATGGGTGCTCGTTGTCTTTGTAATGGCCTTCCACCAACGGGGGAAAAAAACAAAAGAACCCTCCTGCAAAGTGCTGTTCTGAAAATGCAAATCGTGCCCCTTCTGCTGCTTCATCAGGAGGAAATTGCAAAACGAGCGGAGGCATTTCCCTTCAAGCACGCTGAGTGAATATTCACCTTTTCACACACACAATCACACACAGCAAAAATTCGGGGCGCACCTGGACAAATGACATGCTTTGTTTATTATCTAATTGAAAATAGGTAAACACATGCTCTACAGAGAACACACTTCTACACATTTTAATGCACTATTACTGTTGAATTCAACATAATGAAAAAAAAACATAAAATGTGGCCAGTGCAAAAATAATGTTTTTTTTTTTCAATATGTTAAACTCAGCAAATAATTATAAATTGTGCATTAAAATTTGCAGAAGTGTGTAAAGGATGTGTTTATTTTTTTTAAATTAGAAAAAAAATAAAGCATGTCATTTGACCATGGGTTTCCAAACTTTTGCATACAACTGTACATCTATGCCAACGCCAGGTTTGCCCACCAAAAACATGGTGGATCTTCTCTTTTCCCCTCTATCTGTACTGTCATTTCTAGATAATTCTCACTCAACTGCTTCAGAGTGACTGTGGAAGGTTTATGTTACACACAGAAACTGAAGTAGAGTCTGACCTCCGAAATACATGGTCCTTCCAAAAATAGTGCATTTGAGTCAATGTTGTCAGAGCTACAGACTCTAAGGCTCATCTAATATGTCAGTTGGACAATATTAACTGAGGCAATGTGGATTTATTGCAAAAATTCTGTCGATAAAGCACTGATATCTAGTGGCTTGTTTCACACTGCAAAGATCATACATCTCTGATCACACATCTCTGACAATTCAGAATGCCATGGTTATTTGAAATGAAAATTCTTGGCCAAAACACTGGGCAAAAAACTAAAAAAGAAAAAAAAAAAATAATGATAATAATAGTATTATTTATTATGGACAAATAACAATCAATTACAACAGTTTGCAGTTGCATAAAATTTACTAAACTTATTAAAATTATTTCAGTACATAGGCTATAGTATGTGCTAAGAAATCCAACATCCTCAACAACAGAATGGTTGGTCATTCAACACAAAGAAGTATTTTTAGGCTAGGTTTTAAGGTTTAGGGAATTGCATGTATATATTATGTAATATTACTAAGTATTCTGTTTAAAATTCCTCTCTAGTTCATCATCGTTTCTCTATCCCAACATGACAATTATCACTTTTGAAGCATAGTCATCGGGTTACTTATCATTTCCAATACCCAATTACATCGCCCAAGCCTAATTTGAACACAAAACACCATCATGATAAAAATAACAAAAACATGGAAAATGTATCCAAACCAAACCTTTAGCGTGAAGATAACATGTTACAAAACACAGAAACATTTCTAAAAAGACAACAGATGAAAAACAAGAATTAATAGAAGCCAACAAAATCTTTATGAATTCTGGGAAGCTCAGCTTAGAGCTACAACATCTATAGTATTTAGAACATCGTAAATTTCTGCCGTTTATTTGAGTTTATGAATAAGAAATGTGACAATTCAGAACTCAGAACTGACAATCATGTCAGTCAGTAAAACACTGTTTAACTAAAACTATTGAAGCCTGTTTAATATTGATCATTTTAAACTATATCAGTCATTTTCATTTAGTGGAATTGCTGGTGTCTTAAAATCGGTATTGTGACAAAATTGGTCAAACCGCCCCACACATTTACAGATATACATACATATCGCCTCTGTCCAAAAAAAACAGGCATCTCCATATTTGTTGATTTATATAGATTTTTTTTACATCATTTTCACACAGCAGCTGTCTTTTATACTGTGTGAAACTTTCACGATGAATGGACCAACAGAAAATTACTTAGAAAAGCACCTCCTTACGTTGACTTACATTAAAAGATAACATTTTTGCCTTCTCCTGTAAGTTTCTGTTTTGGAGATGTGTGTTTTTGGACAGTCTACAGACACACACACACAAATAAATAAATAAAGGTAGATACTGACCACTCTGTCTTTTTAAACCCGTCTTAGCTTCATGTCCTGCTTTTGGTAATCCTCAGCAGTATGAACCGGTATGCCTACAAAAAACAGACAGGAGACAAGAGATTACTGAATTATGTAATGTAGAATACTGTAACTAAAGCATAAAACCTCCATTATTGTCTGTCTGCTTTACATCCAAACTTGATACAGAGAAAATGGAGCTGTCAGGATTAATAGAAAAGACCTTTTAAAATAGATCACTCAATTAAAAAGCCACCAATTACCGTCTGTTTCACAATGAATTGGCAGTGATTTGTTGCATGATGATAATGCAATTTTTACTGCTACTGTGTTTTTAGTAAAGTATCATGAAAAGAGCTGTGTGCTTTGTTATTGTGCATTTAAGTCCATTTTAATGGTCTGGGGTTGAATAATCATCAAAATAACTGGAAGATTATTTGATTACTACTATATAATCAATAGTGACAGCCTTAAAAGAGAACACTTCCTTTAGGTACATTTATTGGATTATTTGAATTAGCATTATGAAGAAATTTAACATTTATTTCTGTAGGGATACAAATGCAGTAAATGCAGAAATTTTTGCACTTAAGCCTAGCATCGCCTAAACATTCGGATCTTTTGGAATACGACGGAGGCTTCATCAAATATCAGTCTGACACATCAGGCAAATTCAAACAACTTTTTTTCATCATTTTTTTAAGCAATTATCAGCCAGTTCAATAATCGTCAAAATAATCGGTAGATTACTCGAATACCAATAACAGACAGAGATTGCCGTATAAGGAAAAGCTTCCTTAGGGGACATTTATTGTACTCAGAGTGGTGTAACCATGCAGGCCAGTGAATTAGAGCCATGCTGAGTTTGAACAGATGCCACTGCCTTTCTTAATCACACATATTTAATGAGCAAACTCCTTCACATAAACGTAATTAAACATACGAAATGTAAGGGGCCCATCTGTGACATATTAGCTGCAGTGCTACATCCGAGCACGTCTGAAAGGAATTTAGCGACACGTTCGAGGCGCTTTAGAGAAATTGTCTGAGACAGGATGGCATGCATCTAGATGTCTACACTTTTTCAACCACCCCCCCCACCACCACCACCACATCTGAAGCTGTTATTCATCTTTGGTGCATTGAGGCGTGTCTTGTCTCACTGTTGCCTTGTCAACCACTTCTCTCTCTCCTCCTCCATCTATCTTTCTCTCTCAATCTCTCATCTTCATCAGCCTGCGATCTGTTTGTGCAGTCCATGGGCTTAGTTCGCGGACCTCTGGGAGCGTTCATTTCCATGACAACCGCACCGAAATCCATCCAACCAGCATGATCTCCCTGACAAGCCAGAGTGTGACCTTAAGTCTGGACATGGCTGAGGTTAGCAAAACCGAACAAGGCGTTCGAAACCAGTACAGGGAGGTTTTAGGGCAATATAGCCATGGACGTTGAAATTCGGGGTCAAAAATGGGCAATCACAAGCATCATTTTGTAGACCTGCTTGAAAGGATCAATGACAAGCTTTGGGTCAATACGGAAGATTAGCACGCTGAGGATTAAAACAATACTCCAGCCTTTTTTAGCCTGAGTAGTATGCAGTCCATTACCACATACAACTATTTCAACACAGTTCACTGTACTGAAAAGAATAGAAAACCCATTGACTGAGACCGCTTATAATAAAATCCAGTGGTATTTGCTTCATCAGTTGGCCACTGGCTTTTATTACAAATGTGCTTCTAGTCATCAGTTTTCTGTTCTTTTATGACTAAGTATATGCAAACACATCAAAATAGTTTTCTGTGTTAATTAACTATGTGCTGCAGATGCACCAGATAGAGATGAGGTAGAAAAAATAGCTGTATTCCTTTAAAAGGAACACCTTAGCAGTCACCTGGAATACCATTGCAACACCCTTGCAACACCTATGCAACCATTTGGAATAACAATAATAATATGTTGAACACATTATCTGAGTGTATTGATTCACAAAATTCAGAAAACGACATTTTTCGTTACAGTAAAAATATAGTCTTGCTTAAATTGTGTACAGTAGGATACTCCAAAACAATTTAAGTCAATATTCCAAATAGCAAACATGTATTGGTCTGCTGGCTTGATAAGGTTGGCACCCCGCTGACTGTTTGCCACTACTGGTCTACACTTGGACCACCTAGATTATTGTCATGCGTACCAGGCATAACTAGTTTTCTAATCTCCTCAAACATATTTTAAACGCACAAAATCTTTTATTTTAGAAAATGAACGAAGATAAATATTACAAACAACTCAGAAAAAAGGCCTAATATAAAACGATTTTGTTGAAAATGTTGTTGCTGACACTGTGCTACATTAAAATGATTTACCAAACTAATTTACAAAGTATAACTAAAGAAAGGAAGGAAGGAAAAGGAGTAAATTGGACTGTGAGAGGAAAATGAGTGATGATAAGTGGAACTTTGTCTATTACTCTGCTTAAGCACCAGTGGGCTGCCCAGAAAACGCTGAGCAAAGTGCCGGTGCCAGCTTTGCCATCAGCGTGCCAACAGTGGTCTACTATCCTCTTGCTATCAGGGATGATATGTTGTATTGTTACATTGCTAACCTAAGTAGGACTGCACCAATATCAGAATTGTGGGCCAATGCTAATATCCAAAATTTTTCATGTATATATCTACAGATATCAACACAAACCATTTATAACATGCAGAAACTAGGGTGAGATCCACCTGGATTAGCATTACAGAGCTAACATTTATTTGTGGTTCCAAGTGTGGTAAAGTGAATAAAACACAGACAAGTTTGCACCGTAGCCCAGCTTCACCAAAATGTTCTGGTCTTCCAGTACAGTACAGTAATCTGGAGTGCAATAATTTCCAGAGCACAACAATCTAATCTTTTTTTAGGCATTTTAAAGAAATTATCTGCCGATTCTGAAATCATCCTCAATATACTTCAGCAAGAATGTTAACAAAACCACACACAAGCTAGAACAGTGTAGAATAAAACAAGACCGAGCTGGATATTGTAGGTATAACTGTTAGAAACTGGCTAAAAGTTATGCAAGGTATTAGCAAAGCAGCCCTGTAGCCACACAGTTGAGTGGCTTTCTTCACCGTTAGCATGCGGGCTAACAGCTGCTGAAGGTCATGGCATCTGCAAAGCAGCATCAGAGACAGCGAAGTGACACACTTAGACGGCGCACATGGGCGCAAAGCTGCTTAGCGAGGGCGGCGGCAGCATATTGCATGGATGTCGAATGTTAAATGGAGCCAGCGCCGGTGCAGATGTGTATGAAAATGACACTAATGCTCAACAGCTGAAAACAATGGAGTCAGTTCAACAAACAGCAACAACTTCCCCCCCTGAGCAAAGCAATTGCGAGCAAACACAGCCATGTTAGCTTCTGCTCAGGCTAATTTAAGGAATGACTCTGTAAGGCCTGTTTTTTTTTTCCTGTGCAGTGTATCGTTACCATAGCAATGTGTATATTCAGTATTATATTTCATTTAATGAAAAAATCCTAGATTCTTGTTCACACAACAAGGTCCTGATGCAGAGCTTTGCCCCACAATCGCCTTAGGGCAAAAACTGGGAGCTTTCCAAGATTTACTAACAGACAATTTATCTGAAGTTGTCACCTCACTTCTCTCTCACACACAAACACAGCCACACTGTCATTCTGGCCTATTCCAGCAGGCCCGGTGTAATGAAGCCCCTCTTAAGGTAGCGTAAATGTGTTTAGCAAGATCTCAAGTCTCAAATCAACTTTCACAGACCAACAGAAGGAATCTGCTAGTGAGTTAGTGTAAACTGACTATTAGTCACTATGTATAAGGTAATTAATTCAGGATTTCATGAATGCAGTATGCACGCAATCTAATGTTTCCAAATAAGAGAACACACAGAGCTCCAGAACAACCACTGAAAGTCAGCTCTGCGCAGCACCCCTGAGGACAGTTACTAATTTTAATGACATATCACCCAATAATAAACATATTATTTTACATTTTTATAATTCCTATAGTAACAAATTCCCTATTTACAAAAAAAAAAAAGTCACAGTAGAAGTAAATAATGCACTGCTACAGACAAGTGCACGCCAAGACAACACATATACATACATACACAGTCATGGGCAAAATTTTGATGCCTCAGTCAAATTACATTAAATTGTTTTCTTGAGTTTGTTGTTGGCAAATAAATAGACATTTTGTACTATAATTTACAGAAAAAAAAACATTTAGGTTTGTTCCCTGTAGAGGATGTGTTAACTTACTTCTCACTCAGAAAAACAACAAAACATGCAATTTGACCAGGGGGGCCCAAATTTGCATTTCACTGTGACTGTGTACACATTTAAAAGATGTTAAAACTGGGTCTAAATGTGTGACATGTAAGATTTATTTGTAGGTATTTAAAAATGCAGAACATTTTATTCTAATCATCCTTGATTTGAACAGAAAATAGCGGCACAGCTGGGGATAGATAGAGCTGGGGATATATAGATAAATTTAATGTTAGGGTTTCTTTGGTGTAATAAAGAAATAATGAAAAAAAGAGGTTCATTAAAAAGTCTATCAATATATTATTATGCACAATCTATTAGTGCACAATGTATTAGTGCTTTTCAAAAATCAGTCCATTTTAACACCACCACAATGATACCAGAAACCATGACAAAGTCATAATAGGAAATTTTCATATTGTAGTGACCCACTACTGGCTCACATTGCCTCCAAAAAGGTCAGGAGGTGTGGCCATGTGAGTGTCCATGCAAGGAGGCTCATGGTAGGTGCATGCCCTCCTGAAAAGGGACTTTAATGTTGTTTAAAGGTCATTGTTTGTGTAAAAATGTGTTGTGTGTTATTTGTGCTTTATTGAATCGGGGATGTGGGTGTTTTGTGTTGACTATTGGGGACCGTGAGGGTGAAGCCTGTGGCTGGTGGTGACCTCCTTTGCACGTTCAGTGCTTTGTATGTGCCTTTCTGCCCTGGTGTTTAATAATAAGCACTCATTGTGGAAATCATGGCCTCCCCTGTGTCTTAGCCTACGCTGACTTGTTCTTTTGGTT